CATTTTGTTTCGTAAACAATAAGAAAACGATATGAAGACTGTACTTAAACGCTTAATCTTTATACGCTGACGCAAATTGGTACATTTATAATAATTTAAAAATATAGTATTTTGAAGGTTCGCCAATAATATTCAAGAAAAACATTAAAAATGGCGCAAAGAAACGACAAACAACAACTTTTTTATAAACTTCATATTAAATGAATGGAGTATTACAAGAATGAATGGAATTATGATATACAGCTAATGAAACTTTAAACTCAATTTATTGAGAAAATAATTTTTTTGATTTTTTAAAAATTTTTAGTTGTCTTTTAAATCAAATATCTTGTTATGACTTAAAGCCAGAAAAAAAGCTTAAACTAACATTTGATTTTAAAATCAAGTGGTTCTATTTAATTACCGAGTTTAAATAAACCTTTTACTTAATAATTGCAATTACAAATGGTTAAAACTTTGCAACATATTCCTAGAATAATTCATTTTTTGATGTTTTAATAAAAATCATTTCAGTGAATTTTGTTGTTTTTTGTCCAGTGAATTTTTTTTTTTTTTTAATTGTTGGTTACAAGCATACTCCCGAGACGACTTAAAATTGCTTTGATGTTTGCGGCTCGATGAATCTGTTCATCTGAACTGATCTTCCATCTGTTTTATACTTCCATGGCTTAACGTGAATAAAAATTTAAGGGAATTTCTTTTCACGTAAACCTAACCAAATACTGAGTAAAAGCAATTGCTCATTTTTATTCACCCGGCCTAATGTTTCGTATACGAATATATATATGAAAAAAACAATATGTTTTTTCATACGAATTATTTATTGAAAATAACGGCAATTACCATCATAAAACACGAAATCTAGCGTTATGTAATTGTTATGTTCAAGATCAAATCCGTTGTGGGGCGATCGCCTCCCGTAGATATTTTGGAAAGAATTTTACTAGATTGTCTGGAACCGTTACCGTTATGTTTGAAAACCTGAGATAACTGTTACTTAGCTAACACAAAACGTTCAGCAAAAGTTGAGAACGTTCAAGAACGTTCTATGAACGTTTATAAAAGTTCACAACGTTGAACTTTCACTTGAACGTTCAAAACGTTCTTGAACGTTTTGTGTTAGCTTGGTAACTACCCGTTATGTTTGATAACTATATATATATATATATATATATATATATATATATATATATATATATATATATATATATATATATATATATATATATATATATATATATATATATATATATATATATATATTATATATATATATATATATATATATATATATATATATATATATATATATATATACACAGAGGAAATTTTCGTGTGTATGTCTTTGGGAAGGGGTGACACCTCCCTAAGAAGGTGATTTTAAAGTTAAAATCGATTTTTTGAGAAATATAGTCGGCTAATCGGGTATTTGATAGATATCAGTCGGGTTGTTTTTAGTTTTGAGAACTACTTTATTTTGTATATGTAATACATATACAAGAAAAAATTTAAAGAATAAAAGAAGGAAAAAAATGTCAATAATGTAACAAATAAATGTAAAATACATGTTTGTATATATATATATATATATATATATATATATATATATATATATATATATATATATATATATTATATATATATATATATATATATATATATATATATATACTAGATGGAAAAGAATTTTTTTAATGTTAATAGTTAGTTAGTTGCATTTTACTTTTAAGTTCATCATTTAATCATTCATTGTATAGAAAAGTTTGTTAATGTCATTAGCGGAATGGAATAAATTGGTATCACCAGCAAACATCATACTTAAATTTAAGGCTTTACTTAGCTCGTTTTTATAAATCAGGAACAATAATGGTCTCAAAATGGAACTTTGTGGAACGTCACTTGATTGTTGTTGAAAACAAATTAAAAATAACAATCATTGTTGCTAAAAACAATTCGTTACGGGTAGATAAATAACTTCTAGACCATTCTATCACTTTTTTTTATAACTTTTTTATAATATTTAAGTATTTGTAGTAAAATTTCATGATCAACAATAATGAATGCTTTCGATAGGTCGGTGAAAGTACCAAATATAGAATTAGATTTTTCAAAAGAATTTGAGCTTTCTCGTATATTTTGGATAATTGTATGCTCAGTGAAAATAATTTTTTAAAAGCCAAATTGGTGTTTGTATAAAAAACTATTTGAATGAAGATAATTGTATAATCATATTGTTCATAGTACGTTTACGTCGTAGTATTTTTAAGAATGTAGAGAGGACAGAGGTGATAGAGGTGATAATTACTTATATTTGTTTGGTCACCTTCTTTTAAAATCGGAGTTTAATTTGTTTGCTCGGCACCAGAGGAAAAATTTTTGTTGTTGACTTATTAAAAAGTTGCTTTATTAAAACAGATGCTTTATAAAAAATACCTTAAAACAAAATTATCTGCAATAAGAAAATATATAAAGAATACAAATACTTATCTGAAAAAGTTCTTAAAAAAACTGAAAAAGTTTACTTATCAAGACTCTTTCAATATCAATACTTGTTATCATGAGATACTTCATGAGATATAGCTCTTGTTACTCTAGAAATTATTTTGGAAAAATTGCTTGGTGGATAGATGCTCGATGGTGGATAGATGCTCGATGGTGGATAGATGCTCGATGGTGGATAGATGCTCGATAAACTTTAAAAAGGATACTTTTATTATATTTTATGTCATCTGTTAAAGTTGATTTATTTTTTAAGAGATTTAAAAGCTGCTGAAAACTCTTGGAAAGATAGTTCAGAAGTTAATTCGTTGGAAATGTAGCATTGGTATAAGGTATTTTATTTGCTGGTTTAATACCAATTTCAACAAAGAATTTTTTAAATTCATAAGATATAGCTCTTGATTCGCGTATATGTTTTGTTACTAATTATAATCTGGAGGAGAGAACCTGAGTAAGTTTTTTTTGTCTACTACTAACTTCATTCATTATTTTCCGAGAGCGTTTTAAGTTATTTTTATATTTATCTACGAGTCTTGATAAGTAAACTTTATAAAAAAAAAAGTATTCTTTATATATTTTCTTATTGCAGATAATTTTGTTTTAAGGTATTTTTTATAAAGCATCTGTTTTAATTAAGCAACTTTTCAACAAGTCAACAACAAAAATTTTTCCTCTGGTGCCGAGCAAACAATTTGTTTTTTGTATAGCGTTTCTCGTTTTAATTTCAAATATGCAACTCATTTTTCACCATCATGTCAAGTTGTAAAGATATTTGGGTTCAAGTCTTTATTATTTGAGGTAAAATCCCTAAAGTTGTAAAAAAAAATTATTCAAAAGTATGTCAACCTGGGTCTTAAAAGAAACGTATTTTCATAGAGATTTTAGAAAACATAAATAGTTTTCCTTGAAATTTATTGACAAAAAAATAATGTAAAAAAATGTTAAAGACTTTTAAAAAAAATTTTAACATAATGTTTTTCAGCAATAATACAAAAAGTACTTATTTTTATTACAAACAAATATTATTTTTAAAATCTCAATTAAAATACGCATCTTTTGAGATCCAGGTTGAAATACTTTTAAATAATTTTTTTTTGGACAACCCCAAACACAAAAGATTTGAACCCAAATATATTTACAACTTGACATGATGTTGATATATATTTACAACTTGAAATGAGTTTAAAATATATTTACAACTTGAAATGAGTTACATATTTGAAATCAAAATGAAAAATGCTACACAAAAAACAAGTTATTTGCTCGGCACCAGAAAAAAATTTTTTTTTGTTGACCTGTGTAACCTATAGTTAAAATAATAGTTGATAATGCTATTGCATAGCATTATGAATCATGGCCGTCGACACGTTATAAAAAGCGAAAGAGCCAATTTTAACCACGTAAGGAGTGTCATAAAGTCATTGGGTCTGACCACCAGATCAAATCAATAAGTAAAAGCTGTCTTTCTGATTAAAAGTTTTGTGTTTGAATTGTTAATATTTGATGAATTTTTTATAAAATTTTTAAAATTTTAGCACTTTAGATACCATATTATATACATTAAAATGAAATCCGTTGTTTCATTATAACGTAAAAAATAAATGCATTTAAAAATATTTAAAAAATTAATAAGTTTTAACTATTTAAAATCTTCTTTAACAAACCGTCCAAATTCGTGGAAGCATTCGTCGTATTTGGACACAAATTTGTTTCCAATTTTATAAGTCTAGTTTGTCAGTAAATAATTGATGAGTGTTTAAAATTGTCAGGTTATTTAATCTTTTATTTGCCATTGTACCTCTTAACCAAGATTTCTGTCGTGCCGTGGAGAAAGTTGCAAGATTGACAATGTTTAGAGCGAGAACTACAACTTCCCGTACGGAGCGTGTCGTGGGAAAAATTGTTATCGGGGTTTACATTTTCATTAGTATTTACTTCAGAAAAATTAAAACTTATGGATTCATTACCACTAATTTATTAATAGAAAAATTTATTTTTTAAAAATTAATGTTTGGGATAGTGTTTCTAAATTCTCTGTTAAAAAATTTTTCTTACATTTTGTAGCAGCATTCGCTGCATAGTCTTTTCATTTCTATCTCGAAACTATTGAGAGTCGTAAAAAGTTATGGAATGAACTTCATTCCATAACTTCTTACGATTCTCAATAGTTTTCTTCGCAAAATCTTGATTAATAAACACATTAGTTCCAGGCAAGTTTTTCAAGACATTTAAAACTTTGTTTTTGACTTGGTATTTTAAAAGCTTCAGAACTATTGTTCTAGGTAGTTTACAAAAAGCTAAGTGATACATGAACCATTTAGCAACAAGATAAGTGATACATACATCAGTAAGCAAAATGCTATTTGATACATCAGAAAATTGCTTAATTATGTGGGATGTTTATACAACTTAATTTATATTGAAAATAGGCGTATCAAGATTAAGTAAGGATTGAGCCACCGTACAAAAGGTTGTCAATCCTTCTCAACTCTAGCTTCGTAACCACGGCGTCTGCACTTCAATCGCGAAGCTAAGTTTTTGAAGCGCGTAACTATTATATGAGCCACTTAACCACGACCAAACAAAGCTGTAATGGTGGTTAATTTTATGGTGGGGTTTAAAAATTTTTTCATGTCTAAGGAGTATTTTTGGTATGTTCATACTAATTTTTGGCAAAACTAATATGGGTATTTTTTATACGTTTTTTAATAACTTTTTTTTGATCTACACTACATAATTGTTTAATCCATAATCATTTTTTATTGTTTGTTATAATCTAAGAAACAATATGCACAAAATACATACTTTGTTGTATAAATTTGTTTTTTTAAACTTAAATTACATGATTATAATACATCTACTATTTTTAGGATTCGTGTAATTGGGTTTTTAACTGGAGATATTTTTTTGTTATTTTGAAATCCGAAAATTTTGATTTGTAATTAGTTACACAATTTTCATAAAATATTTTTATAAAAATTGTGTAACTTTCGACTTTTTTATATAAGATTGAAATACATCAACAAAAGTTTATCTGATTTTAGTTTAAGTAGTTTTAAAATTTAATATTAAAGATTTTATTAGGGAAGCAAGAACCATAAAATTAAGTTTACCTTTTAAATATATTTTAGCAAGAAAAAAAAAAGTTACTATTATATAACATTAGTTGAATCAATATTGTTATTACTAAGTTCTTTATTTATAATACTTTTTATTTTCATATATATATATATATATATATATATATATATATATATATATATATATATATATATATATATATATATATATTTATATATATATATATATATATATATATATATATATATATATATATATATATATATATATATATATGAATAATAAATATATATATATATATATTTATTATTCATTTATTTTTACTTACTACAATCAATATAATTATTATTATTATTAATATTATTATTATTGTTATTATTATTATTATATTATTGTATGATTTAGAAAGAAAATTAGATATCTTGTTGTTGTTTTGATGTAATATTTTCAAAACCCTTAAAAATATTAAGTTGCTTTATTAAATGACATCATTTTACTCTCTCTCTATTTTTAAAATTTAATAGCAAGAACCATAAAATTAGGTTTACTTTTTAAATATATTTTAGCAAAAAAAAAAAAAGTTACTATTATATAACATTAGTTGAATCAATATTGTTATTACTAAGTTCTTTATTTATAATACTTTTTATTTTCATGTATATATATATATATATATATATATATATATATATATATATATATATATATATATATTTATTATTCAATCATTTTTACTTACGACATCAATATAGTTATTATTATTATTAATATTATTATTATTATTATTATTATTATATTATTGTATGATTTAGAAAGAAAATTAGATATCTTGTTGTTTTGATGTAATATTTTCAAAACCCTTAAAAATATTAAGTTGCTTTATTAAATGACATCATTTTACTCTCTCTCTATTTTTA